CACACACACACACACACACACACACACACACACACACACACACACACACGGTTTGGAAAGACAACACCCGCACCTCCTCAGGGACAGACCTCCCAGCCTGAGTCATCACAAAACTCTTGAGATGAGCAACACAAACTAAACACTGGCAGTTAGGAAGGACCTCAGGTGGAATGATGTACCTAAATCTATAACGTGAGGACTACATGAATGCACATCTTTACATCTGGATTATTGCTCTCAAGTGGGACTACTGCAAAATGAATGCTGGATATTTACGCAGAAGAGTAATTAAAAAAAAAAAAGTTAATTAAAAAAAAAAAAGCAACCCCCCCCCGATCAGCTGCTGTCTTGCACAGTGCTCGTCACATAGAGGATGTTAAATGCAGGAACTTCTGAGGACTTTCTTGGATACACTGCAGGAAGTTTAAATCAGTGCACATTTTCCAAGAATGTCACACTTTTTATTTCATTATTTTAAAGGAGAACAACCATAAATCGCAGCTTAAACAGCTGCAGTTTGGTTTGCGCCCTTGCTTTCCTACCTGCGGTTAGTTTGACGCTGAGATGTAGGAATACTGTGGACACGAGGCTTTGATTGTGTCGGATACCGGTAATTATGAAGGTGCCAGAAATGCCGGCTGCACGGTGATAGCAGAGCCTCGCGGATGAAAAAGAAGGAAATACGTTTTTATTCATTTGCAAAGGTTGTTTTTGCCGCTGTTGGCTGCAGGAAAAAAGGGTGAGAAATGGAAATGAATTTGAAACAAGCACTGATATCAAGTTCTCACCGATGCAACGCAAGCTGGACCTCAATTTTTCCCAGCATAGGTCAGATATTTGGAAAAATTTCCATCGCAGTTTGAGTATCTGGCAAACCGACAGCGTGGACAATAATGTCAAAGGAAGGATGATACTTGACTATTCTAGGTAACAGCGACTGCCTCTCAAATTCTCGCTAGAAGGTTTGAAGATTGGGTGTGTACCCAACCTTAAGAGTGACGTCTGGTGTTAAAGACCGCACACACACTAACACACACGAAAGTGAAACTTTGGAAGGCCCTTTGGAGTTCTAACAAGCCTCTGTTGTTTTCTGTTATGGTTTTCCATCAAACCTTCATCCTGTCTGTCCCCGTCTCTCTTGCTGTCTTTTTGTCCCACCTCTCTGTCTGTCTGTCTGAGCTGATGCTGGTTTACACTCTCCCTCTCTGCATGGCATGTTGTTTCCAGTGAGCCTACATGCTGTATGCCAGTATCTGCATCATCAAAAAAAAAGGAGCTGCTGTGCCAAAACAAAGCGCTGAATATGGCGGGATAGACGGTTTACCGTTTCCCTTTGTTATTTGTTTTGTTTTTATTGTTCTTTTAGACGTGAACTTTTGCAGGGGTGTCGATGAGGTGTAATGGAGTGTGCACAAGAAATGGGGATCAAAACAAGCTGTAGAAGTACGGTAGATAGTTGGAAAGTGCTCAGAAGACCAGAAACTGACTGAAAAGACAGAGAATAGAATGTAGAGTTAGGCCCGCGGTTTACCAAAGAGCTAAACAGGGTGTTATTGTTCTTAAGGTCATCCAGTTTATTTGGATGTCAGCTGTATGTGGATCAGTTTTGTGTTTTTTGTTTTTTTTTGTTTGTTTGTTTGTTTGTTTGAAGCTGTCTGCCTGCTTGACAGTTTGGATAGTGACAAAGCAGTTTTGATGCAAACCTCTGAATTCATTCGCACTGGCACGAGAGAGAGTGCGCACAGCGAGCGCTGCCAGGAAACGACAGATTTTTAAGAGCTTTAAAGGTCGCCACCTGGCAGCAGTCAGCCAGCTGCTCTCTCCACTTATCCTGTCACTCTTTTTGTTTTTTGCTTTATTTCATTTTTTTTATATATACCTTTGATGCCTCGTGATTGTCCTTTAACATCTTTTGTCCGTGCCGCTGCCCCGTGAGGTGTGACTGGACTCTGACCTCAGCTGTGAGTGGATGTGGAGAGGCGGGTGATTACAGTACAGGTGGAAAGTTTGTGTCTGTGCATCCGTAGCAGTTGCTGTCGGAGCGAATATTACAGCACGTTTCATCACTGAAGCAGATGATTGGATGATTTGCAGTGCAATGCCATTAACTGGGATTTATCCCATGACCTGATCTCTTTTCTACATCTGGGAGTTAACACATACAACGTGTCAGCTGTAGGCGCAATATACATACACAGATTGTTACACACCCGATCTGAACAACCACAACAGGGTCACGATTCTGGGTTTGAATCTGCTCTCAGGAAGTTTGCTTTTCTCTTCACTGTAACCCAGAGACTCCCATCTTACCTGAGCTGTGCCACAGATATCCTCAACTGCACTCTAGAGTCGCAGCTCTTCCTGATGCCTGGAGCTTCAGGGATTAGAAACCCTGGTTTAAATTCCAGGAAGTAAAACCACTGTAGTGTCAAAAGAAGATCAAACTGTCTGGGTGCAGCCGCCACTGTCCGGTCTGCACTCTGGTCACGGGTTAAACCTGTACATTACAATATGTATTAGTAAATCAGCAGCATGGAGGCGGATGTGCAATGAATGGGCCAAACTGAATGCTTTTAACATTTACTCACATGCATTTCATGCAGGCACGTTTCAGCTACACTGGTGTATTGAATTGCTGCTTGTTTTTTTTGGGGTTTTTTTTAAGTTATTAAATGGTTGACAGAGAATATGTCCTTTAGACTATTGTCCTTTAGCATTTTCCTAAATTTAAATTTTTCTTTAATGGTTAGCTCGTAGAAAAAAAAAGATGGCAAATTTGCCTTTTGTTTTTGGGTTTTTTTTGTATATACAGATAATTGAGGTCTTATGGGATGGTTCTTTTCCATGTCACATCAGGTTTTTACCCTTTTATACACATCTGTGTTGCATAACTCTGCCCAGTGCTAATGTCATGCAGAAATCCCATCTTTGTTGTTACTGTTGTTGTGTTACTATAGCCAGGAGCTCTTTGGTTAAAGCTGTAACCAGAAGCTGCTCTGTATATTCATTTAGTGACATTAGAGTTGTTTCAGGTCATGATTTTTTTCCCCTTGCTGGGAAGCATTGGCTGGTTGACACCCATGGTCTTTGTTTTGTTTATATGACATTCCCGGTTTTATTGGCATAAATATGCAATGGTGCCTTCACATCAACAATAGATCAGATTACCAACTTTTTATTCAGGGTCCTGCAAATATTACAGACAAGGGTGCAGTCTTATCAGCCTGCTGTTGTATGTGTTATTTATTAGAACAGTTAATAGAGCAGTACAACAGGCTTCTTGATGTAAAATAAATTTGTCTGAAACTACTGTTGAAGGAATATATATTTATGGATGTCTTACCCATACCACACAGAAGATATGCAGATGACTCAGTGTTTTCCTGCTAAAAATATGTTTTATAGCTTCAGATTAAACTAAACTTCTGAAATTTTATAAGTGCCACAATGCAGTGGGTTTCGCTACATCCCAAATACTCTTTGTACCTTTTTGCACAAGTTACTCTGTCACCATGTTTCCGACTCGCTCTTTGGATTAATTCGAGGAGGCTGTTGCACTCATCAGATGAATATAATTTAAGGCCGACACGGGACTAACCCTGTCTCGATGAAAGAGTTAATCAAAAACGATTTCAGTGTCATTTCAGCATAAGTTTGACTCAGGACAAGTGATGTTGCAATATGGTGGTGTACTATCAGTAACATCGGGTTGGGTTTTCCCTATCTAGACATGCAAAGTTGTTGGAACGACAACAGCAGCAGGTTTATGTGTACACGCCACACAGTTATCCACGGGTATTTCTATTCAAGGAAATGTTAGAGACGCTTGATGAGTATGTTCCTTGTTTTCACCAGGAAAACCTTCCACCTGCTGAAACATCTGCTAGTAATATTTGTTATTGTTGCTCACTTAGCCAGGCACAAACACTGTTTTCTCCTGAACATTTGCTTTATTAACGGAGAATAAAGTAAAGTAAGTCAAATGCCAAAATGCCCCGGTTTGCCTGATTCTTTTTTATATTAACGCATCACCGAAACACTCTGCTTCTTTGTTCGTAGATAAAGTGGAGGCCTCTCTCAATTATGCAGCTCTTTCTGAGGTCTGTTTGACAGGGTGTTTAAGTGGCTACAGTCTGTGTATTCGTGTAAGCACGGCTGTGACTGCAGTTTTATGTCAGCAGGGGTCAGAAGTGCACCAGAGGAGGTGAAGCCAACATAACCATGGGCAGTCTAAGGCCAAAACCTCATTATTTCCTATGAACAAGTAGACACTAAAACAGCGGTGTAATGAATTCTGAAAAGAAAACATGGCAGATTCATTAATGGCTTAAAAACAAGTAATAACATTAAATGGCTTATTTAGTGTTCAACTGAAGTGTGAGTAGTCGTGTCAGGAGTGGTACAAACACACCAGTAAGAGCAAAGCCAACCTTATTTACTTTACTTAAGTACTTTAAAAACAGAAACCACTGACCAAAGTGTTAAACACGGGAATAAAAATACATTAGAAAAAATTACATGAATAAATATAATTAAATTACAGCACAAAATGAAATCGATTAAAAAAAATGTAGGCTACAATTAGACATGAGTGAAATAATAAGTGCACAGACAGTGCAGAGGTGTAGTACATGCACTACTTTATATGTACTAGTAGCTCACAACATCCAAGATGGTTACATTTAAATATTTACCTTATTTTTATCTCTTTATTTGTATTTTTATGTTCCGGTTTGTTTGTTTTTTAATAATGAAAATGAAAATATTTCTCCACCTCCAACAAACACATTTATTTTATGGACCTTTGTCGCTGTGGCATCTTCGTTGTGTCCACCGAGCGCAGCTTCCTGTGCACGGAGCAAATTAACTACATTAAAACTGCGCGCGCTCATTGGCTCGCGCTGCAGGCTCCGCCCGGGAACTGGCCCAGCGCGCGTGACATCCAAGGAAACTTGACACACGGACTGACCCGAGGAGCGGTGCAGCTGCGCGTGCGGCCGATCCTTGTTGACTCAGAGCGCGTTTTTTTTTTATTATTATTTGTTGTGAAGCTCACCTGTGCGTCGCTCATGGAAACCAGGCAGCAAGGTGAGTGAGTGCCGTTTCTTACCTCTCAGACCGGGATAACTGAATCCGCAGCGTTACTTTTTGTTTCCAGTTGATCTGATAATGAGCTGAACTTGAGTGTTGCACGCGCCACTGTTATGACGTCGCTGTGGGAATGGAGAAGAGGGGAAAGAAAGTGTATAAAGCGGAGCATCTGCTGCTGCTTATGTCAGCTTCATCTGTTGCTGCATGGCGCCTTCAGTGTAAAGACTGTTTGTTGAGGGTGCTGCGTTTTTAAGAAGCAGTGCAACAGTTAAGAAGCTTCATGCACACACACGCACGCACACTGTAAGACGACATGGAAACTCCTGACCAAATCCTGGGCTGGCTACTGTTTACCCCCTCTATGTGGTGACTTTCAGGCTATTTGTGGAAGTTCTGCAAAGCCAGAATGCTTTCTATTCACCTCAGGAATTGGCTTAGCCCCCCTCCATCCTTCCCCTGTCCACTACCTTTGCGCTTTGGTCTGCTGCAGGTACTGCAGGAGATAAAATCACTGCTGCAAAAGGCTTTACAGAAGACGCATTGCTTTCGTTTTCTACAGCAGTGCAAAGAATCTGTGTTGTTTTTAGAGTACAGAGTGACTCCAAGCTATAGATAAATAACGTTGACTGACTGCTCAGACCAAATGAATTGTGAAAATGAAAACTGGAGCTCGAGCAGTAGCTCTGCTTGTGTGGGATATAAAGGATTGCTTATTCAGGTAGGTAATTGCATTCCTTTGCAGTCTGATTCTAAATAGGTACCTGTTACAGCTAACAGGAAGCCGGAAAGGCTTAGAGAGGGAGAAAAGGGGGGGAAAAGACTCTGATATGGGAATATGAACTTTATAATCAACTTATTTGTTTTTTATAAAGCAATACTTTTGGTTATATTTCATGGTTACCCATGTACAAGCAGCTGTAATGTCTGGAACAGGGATTTTTTTTGTGTTAACTGCTGTAAATGTTATGTGCAGTATCTACTGTTTGCCAGCTTTAATTAATTTTTTCAGCCGTATGACCATCCCCAAGCCTCTGATTTAGCATAGCCACATGACCGCTGGGCCGAATGGTAATCTTGTGACCAAAGGTATTTCACCCCCACAAAAAAGCAGGGGGAGGGAGGAGACACACAGAATGGACAGTAAAGAAGGAGACAATTTTCTTCTGAGCACCCTATGACATAAATCAGTGTTAGTGCTAAAAGACCCTCACAGTCTGGTATGACCTGCTTTGAGTAGCTAAAATCACACATGTTGCTGTATAAGATCCACCTCTGAGGAAATTCTTCTTCTTTATTACCATAAAACATGCTTTTTAGATTAAAATGTATGCTCCGTGTTTTTCCACCCAAGTACGTGATCTTTTTCTTCCCTGGAAAAACTGTTTTTGCCAGTCAGCTTTGCCTCATTGTCAAAATGTGGAACCAGAGGGACATATTGTAAGCGAAACTGGCCTTATCCTGGCCAACTTCCTCCTGTAGTGCTGGAGTGTGGTGTAATGAGATTTCATCTGCAAGAAGGGAGCTTGTATTGCCTAATAGCTTCAGATATTCTTTCTGGATTGTTTCAAAGTTATACAAGATCCCGTTGTGAACCCTCTGTGGCACTGATTTCTTCTTGGTCTGGGTCTCTAAATAATAAGAAGGAGCTACATCCTGTTTAAAGAGCTCGGAGAAGTTCATATCAGTGGCACATAGGGTCAAAAGTCAGGTTTCCTGTTCCTGCACTGAGCTGGGCCTAACTACAGCTGTCAGGGAGGAGAAGTCTCCATGTTTGCATGTATAACCGGATTTCTTGTGTCCCCTCACCCTGCTGCCTTGCTCCGCTGCAGAGATGTACTCTAGTGTTCTGAGTGGATCAGTGGTGGACTGGGGCAGCATGGGCCCCGGAGAGGAATGGGTTGATTCAGCCATACACGAGGGAGAGCAGGGTAAGACTCAACTCTCCCAGTAAAGCAAAAGAAACCCGTAAATCCACCCTGAATCACAAAAAGCATAAAACCACGTCATGCAGTGGTGCTCTGAGCAATGCTGAAGCAGTAAAGGTGCAGAATGTTTAAAGGTGCCTGTCTATAGGAATTACTGGAGCACTTATTGCCCTTCTGTTATTCAGTGTTGATTTAATGAACAGTCAGATGAGTGAGTTTGGTCTGTGTGAATAAACCAACAAGTAAAAAGACAAAAAGACTGGAATTTTATTCCTTAAATTGAAGGGAAAGTCATTCCTTTCATTGAATTTGATATAACTTTACCCAAAGCAGCAGTGATCAGGCTGATTTGAGTGCATGATACCTGTTAAATCACAAATAATCTATTTTTTTCAAAGACCTGAAATATGAATGTATATGTGGGAATGCATTTAAACCACACGAAAGGTTTCTGCAATAGAACAGAAAAATATATACTACGTGTAATATGACAGGTTTTTGCTCATAGCTACAGAAAATTATGGTCCACCTCAGCCCTTCAGTGCATTTTAACATCTTCGGTGGTGTACCATTTCATTTAACACTCTCAGCTCTCACCAATTGTGTTTTCTTCCACCACATGCAGCTGTCTCCTTTAAAAAGCCTCCATAGGTTTTATGAAACCTTGTAAATGCTAACATTGTGTCTGCTGGGTGAAGTTTCGACGTCTTTCATCAGTTTTGGAAGAAAATGCAATTCTGTTACAGTGCAAACCATTTGAGGGATATACTGTATACGTAAAATCACTAGCAAAAAACGTTGGCAGTTATATGAGATGTTGCTGACTGATAGGATGATTTCCTTAGTATGAAATTACTCACATTCCTGTGTTTCCCTTAAACCAGTAAGCACTCTGTTCTGTCTGCAGGAACTTCCTGTATGCTTACAGGCAGTTTCACAGCCTGTGAGCTTTCCCACTTTTGCCTTTTTCCCCTTCCTTAAGCTAAAATATTAAATAAGAACTAATTGCTTGCAAAATTAAAAATTCTGTTTTCCTCAGGTACTGAACATGTTTTAAACTGTGACTTTACTCAGGTTTGAATCAAGGTAAGCTTTACCCCTCTGATGAGGAGTCCCTTAGGAAAAGCTCATATGGTTTTACCTCCGTCGTCCAAAATGGGGAAAACCTGACAGAATGGGGTAAAACTTCACCCTCAGGGGACAACCGGTGGGGTCACACATCAGTGTCTGACACCTGGGCCACGTCCACCGCTTGGGATATGCAGCTGGACAGCACAGGTGACAAGGGATGTAGATATAGAGCCTGTAGATTAGATCAGTCGTTCACTTTGGCTGAACATTTAAACCTACAGCTACCCCTAGGGCTTCTGTTGGCACAAGCAACATGGTAAGCATCAGGCAATCTGATCTGTGACAAAGCTATTAAAAACTAAATTCAGTCTTTTATCTCAGTAACGATTGAATTATTTGTATCTGCCGATACATGATTTTTGTGGTGTCCTCAAATGAGAATGCACTCAGAGGTGGCAGTGACTGTTGTTTATCACTCGTGTCACGTTAACATAATAGCCATCTAGAATTTCACATGGGATGTATCCCTAGCGGTTATAATTAAAAAGCAAACACACAGACTCCACTGTATATAATACAGTTTGCATTTAGTCTCAAATATAGACCACACTCAGCCTAACAGCAGCAACAAGGAAAATGCAATCAAACAATTAACCAATCAGATAAATTTAATAAATCCAAATTCCTGCAATTTTTTGGGGAATTTATTTTCTTTCTGTTACCAAGTGTCTACAATATGTTAAGTGTTCAATCAAAAGTTTTTTTTTTTGTTGTAGAACATGGTTTTTAAAAAATGGTTGTATATTGTATTATAAAAACAACATGAAATTAGCATTGTAACTTTTCACAAAGTTTAATCTTCTCGTTGTTAGATGTTGCCTGCACATTTCTAGTGGCCCACTGCTCCTGTTTAATTAAAAAGTGTCAGTCACATGGGCCTAGAGACCAGTTTTTGACACCTGGCAACCTCTGGTTGCTAGGGAAACGTGTTTTTCTGAACTGGTTGCTGTTGCCAGGTGAAGTCAGTCGCCGAGAACGTCCCACAGCTAAAACTTGCTTGTGATTGCTTTTGTCACTAGCAGGTTGTCACCGTCCACTGTAGTTTCCATGGAAGACACAGACTTGCCTGCAAACACTTGCTAACAAACCACCGAGCTTCAGCAACATTTGAAAAAGTGTGACAGCAATTAGACACGGAGAAATCAAATGCTGTGTATTATCGCAAAACTTTTACTTTGAAGGCGACCAATCATCGCCTCTACTGCAGTAGCACCGTTTCTTTGAAACCAGTTTCTTGCTAGCGACTGCCAGCAACCACTTGCCAGCCAGTCAGAGAATACACATTTTTCCTTTGCAACCACTACTCGTTTGAGGATCCCCAACTGGTCTCTAGACCTGTATGAAGACCTGGGAAATTGAGATTGTCAGTACCTGATCTTACACTGAATCTTGTTTTCAATGTCTGTCTGTTTGATTTTACCCAATGAACATTAACCTTTCTGCAGGTTATTCCCCTTTCACTCTTATCTATATTTCACTGTCAAATAAAGGCATAAGATGCCTTATAACTACTCTTAACCAGGGTATTTCTTAGCTAAAGCAATATTTTGGTGGACCTCAAAGGTTTTGGACAGACAGACATAGCTTAGGTCTTTAAAAAAAAGTTAGCTAAAAGGTAATCAAGGTTAGCCAAAAAATTGCAAAAATCATCAGCTAACAAGTAAAGAACAGCACTCAAATGTGGTCATTCATAGCTACCTTGCAGTGGTTTTTACCTTTATATTCAAAAGCACTTTGAAAAGAAAACATAATCTGTACCGTGCAGACGAACTTCAGCAGAGATGGTGTGTTGTGTTGTGTAGTGTTTTGTTTCCCAAGCTTTACCAACTCTGGTAGAAAATATCTAAACCGGGGCTCTGCCTGGCTTTTTAAGGCTGTGTAAACAGGGACACTGCTTTCTGAGTGCACTTAAGACAGACATGAAAAGCTTCTATTGAAACCGCAGGGGTTTAAAATCTCATTGTCCTCCTGCTGTGTAATGTTAGCAGAAAAAGCTCTTTACTGTAGAAAGACCTGCAACGGACTGAACTGCTGCAAGCTGTGCTTGAGTTTCGTGCTGTACGCTGTTTTTGTGTGTGTGAGTTTGCTGCATGAGCTGCTGCTGTGTCCCCTTTAACCTTAGTTTTCAAAGAACTGAACTGCTGATATGTTAAAGTAGCCACTACAGTCAGTGGAGAGTGGCGACATAGTGCAGTACATTAGTCTTTACTAACCTCACTGTCCCCTCACCTGTCTTATAATGCGGCCACATCAAGAGAGGGGACACCTCACCGCAGGTACGTGAAAACGTTTTACTTCCATCCTGTCGAAATGGCGTCTGAGTCAGCATTTAAAGGGATAACTTTAAGTGTTCATTGACACACGACTTGCATGTATTTACCTTTCTTGCGTTGTGTGTACACTGCCCTCCTGCTGTTTCCTGGTACTGTGTGCTGCTGTTAAGCCCTTTACAAATATCATAAAAGCAAATGGTGCAACAGTATAAGACGGATCATACTAAAATAGTCTAAGCGAGTTCACCTTCAGCTCATGCTTTATTTTGGGTGTTTGCACCTCTCTGCAACTATTATTTCAATAGAATTAAAAGGTAAATAAACATTGCTAATCAGAAAGCGTCATTTACTGTAGTTGTTTCATTCTGTTTGTGTATCTGAATTATGTGTGTGTTCTGTCCTGTCTACGGTAATCATATTTCATTTCTTATAGCTCGTAAGTTGGGCAGACGGCTGCGATGCTGCTCTTGTAAGCAAGCGGAGGTTTTACATAATGTCTTTAATCTCAATTCAACGCTTTTCCCCAAGCGCATGTTTTTCATTTGCTACAAAACTAAAAATCAATCACTGCAACTTGAAATTTGCTCTCCTCCCCGAAGTCTCAACCCATCTTGTTTGAGTGTGCGTTAGTGTTTGTGTTTGCCTGTGGTGTTGGTCAGCAGAGTTTAAGCACGATAATCCACATCAGTTAAGCCAGATTAGGGCACTACAGGCTGCAGCCTCAGATTACATAACTGTCAGAGACACGATCAGAGATGGAGACAGACACAGAAAACGTGGAAAAAGCAGAGTCAAAAAAAACAATAAAGCAGAAAAAGGCAGAATGAGGCATGGATGCCAGATTGTCTCTGACATGGCTCATTTAAAAATACACGATGGCAACAAAACAAGTAACAATACCAGGAAATAAATCGGCGCCCAGTACAGATTTACTGGTGGTCAGAGACCAGATTTTCACCTTGAAATGTTGAATTCACACCTTGTCATTAGGGTGTCGTCAGTTTTAAGGTCACACATGGACACGCTAAAGTGCATTTATGGTGCCTTTGTGTGTGTTTCACACAGGTTTTCTAGATTCGGAGCCACTGAGAGAGGCTGATGAAGACTTTGTGTCAGACGTCAACCTGAGCGCCTCCATGACGGAGGAAGAGAGGGAGGAGATTCAGCAAGAGTTAGCTAAAGTAAACACACACAAGAACACAAATATATCTTTAGCATTAGGATGATGACTTTTTTATCTCGGTCTATGAAGTCACTTTAGAAGCTGTGTCTTTCTGTGCATGTCCAGCTGGAAGAGGAGATCGGCACACTGAGGCAGGTTTTGTCTTCCAAAGAGAAGCAGCATGCGGAGCTCAAACAGAAACTGGGCATCACTCCTCTGAGCGAGCTCAAAACCAACTTCAGCAGAGGCTGGCACGACATGCAGAGCTCAGTAGCGTAAGTTACAGTATGTGTGTGTGAGAGAGAGAGAGGCTACATCACACAGCTAAGAAACAAAGAAAGAATTTGTGTGCTTAATAAGGTGTGTGTTTCGAAGTGTACACGGCAGAATGGCTTTTATGTTAGCTGTAAACACTGATGCCCTTCATAGGACACACTCAAAGTAATCACACAAAGAGCAGGTTTCTCTCTTCCTAACAGCCAGCATTGACTATGCAAAACGAGTGCCAGATATCAAAAAGCTAATTAAAAAAACATAATGTTCTGCTCCTGGCTGCACAGCATGTGTGTGATTTGTTATCTTTGTTGTGCTCACTGTAACAGACACCATAAACCTGATCAAAACACATCACCCAGTGCTGAAGGCTATGGTTGTCCTCAGTGCACAATTAGTAGTACATGTTCCCTTTAGCAGCTGGAAGTCATTGTACTGTACTATGATTTTCTTTTAAATGTCACTTCCCTACCTGTAACAGGAAACATTTATTGTTTGTGTACTTCTCTTTTTTTTAAAGAGAAGTTGTCGGTGTATTTCTGGAAAAAAAATTCCCTTAAAGAAATATTGATTTCAACTGTGTGCTTTAAAAAGTGTACAACTATCTACCAACCTAATAGTGAATGAAATGGTACAAAACGTGCAGCCCTGCAGGTTTTAGGTTTGATTTTACCGGGGCTTTGATGTTCATGCAGATCTGCAGGAGTTGATCTTATTTAAAGATTAATAGGAATAGTTTGGAGTTTGGGGAAATGTGCTGGTTTTCTGTTCTTTCCAAAAAATCTCAGAGGGTGACAAATTAAAAGGAAAACAGAAAGCCTCGACCTCCATAGTAAGAAGATCTGGTGGTTCTGTAATGCTCTGCATGCATGGCACTGCGATCAACTCAGGCTTGTAGGACAAGCAGGGATAGTTAACGGATGGAAAAACATGATGGTTTAGCAGTTAAGTGCAAAGTGATCAAATTTACCCAGTGATCCTACATTTCTATCTCAAAAGGAGTGTTGTTTTTTTTCAAAGATAACATCCAGATGGTTGGATAAAATGAAAAGTAGTGAATCGTGCCCAGTCACCACATCTCATGTGAATCCAGTGCTTGTTACACTGCGTTCCTTATCACTGTGATCGGGAATGTTTTCTATTAGAATTATTTTTATCCCTTCACTAGACCTTCAGAGACATGCTAGGACAGACTGAAGCTGTTCTGGCAGCATGTATTAACCTAACACCTTAGCAGGAACCCAAATACTATTGTGTTGGGTTTTCCTTTTAATTTTTCATTTATCTGTACAAGACCAGGTGATAATAGTTAGCTCCAAAGATACTTGGTAAGTCTCTTGATGGGAATACTAAGCTAAAGAGCCATCTTCTCATCTCCAAAATGTTGTTTCTGTAAGATCTTTTACTGTCTCTGTCTCCAGAGAAACAATCAAATTTTCTGATCAGATGGTCAGCACTGAGCTTTTATCCAGACAGCAAGAGACAAAGAAGAGCAAGAGGATAGTCTCTGAAGGCCAGCTTTCTTATCCAGTTACACTTTTCACCGAAGATCACCTTACACACAGACTCCATCCTCATCTATAATGAACCAGGGTGACCACAGCAATGTGTGGTGTTAGAGAAACTGGGCAACACAGACATGCGAGAAGCTGTGATAGACGATCTGGATGCAAACAGGCCCAACATAAATTCATGTCAAATTTCTACAATACAAAAAAGCAAAGTAGGGCCTTAAAGTGATGTGTTTGCCTTTTTACTTAACGCTAACAAATAATCTCAAAATAAGATAGATGGTTATTTTTATTACCAGTGATTGAAGTGAGGCTTTGTAAAAAATAATTGCACATATGAATTATCAGCTAAAGGAATCACCCAACATGAACTGTGACTTATTCCATTTGCTCCTGTAAAAACTCAGTAGTGCAAGTTGTAATTACAGCATGTTCATGCTTTTGTTTTCTCCGAACAAGCCTGTGTTGTGTATGCGTCTTTATCTTTCACTGCACGCACCTTTGTGTGTTTTGTTTTGGGGGTTTTTGGCAGCTACAAGAAGACATCAGAGACGCTTTCCACAGCGGGACAGAGAACCTCGGCAGCCTTCAGCACACTCGGCAGCACCATCACCAGGAAGATTGGAGATATGAGGTACAGACTGATGGTCACATGTTCATTGAATTTCCTGCTTCACACTTGCCAAACAGCTTTAACAGTGACAGTAGTTGTATGCAAACCGTGTGGCCACAGTCACCCAATGAATTTGGTTGTTCTGTGGACACATGGCGTTGCCTTCTGTGACACCCGATCTGCAAACGGTTTTAAACATAGATTAGATAAACGGTTTCAAATGTCTAAAGTCATCTTGCCTCTTCAGTGAAGCATGTTCGCCAAATAGTGTGATAAATGTCGTCCTTCTGCAGAGGAATATGTGCTAATGAATCGAAGCCCTTGTTTGTGAAGGTTTTCAGCCATTGTTTGTCTAAAAGTGGATTTTATCTTAATAAAAGCTGTGCTAGTAGTTCTGCTGACAGGTCAAGAGCATCTTGTATTAAACCAGGCTTCCTTTGTCTAAACACATGGATTGATCCCATTAATTGCTTTAGTCTTTGAACTTTTTCACCATTCAGTCTTTAAATGTTGTTCATGTGTGCTTGTAGCTCACAAAAGATACCATTTAAATGTGCCCGTTGCAGGCACTTGATCATCTTAAAGCTCCATTATCGGCTCATCTGTGTAACTTACACAAGCATTCCTGTTGAACCCATCTGCCCCGCGTGCGCCTCCACTTTTAACCAGCTCGGTGACACTTTCTATCTGTGCTACCCATCTCTGTGTCTCAGACAGCAGAGTTTTGACTCTTGGTCTAAACAGTTCAAGGCAGCATCAGATTATGTAAGAAGCACTAAGCTGCTTTCTGAGTCAAAGGGCTCGAGGCAGCGGCTGTCTCCCTCGGTCACTTTCTGTTGTTGTTGAGCTGACAGTCTGCATTGCTCTGTTTGAGAGACGGATACACACACACACACAATGTTGGGGTGTTTTGCAGGAAAGCATGTGTCCCTGTGTTAAATGTGCACAGATGACTGCGTGACAGCGCAATGGTGATGCAGAAAGTATTTCCAGGATGTGCAGGTGAAAACAAAAAAAGCTTTTGAAGGTTAGGAACCAAAAGCTCAGTGAGGACATCACAATATGTCACCAGGCCCATGTTGCTAGTGCTTCATAATAATAATAGTTCATATTAATAATGTAATAGTGGTGAAATCAATCAGAAGTCTTTTCTGCAGACAGTTTGGCTTTCTTTGGCTTTAAGTGGAAGCACAACAAATTATTCTATACCAATACTGTACTTATTTACTTTTTATACTATTCTAATTATACAATTAAAATTATACTATACTTTCAGTACTTCCCTGTGTAATTTAATGTATCCTTTTTTGAGGATATCAATTGCAGAAAAGCAACAACTTATTATCTTTGGTATATTCCAGCATGTTTGGTCTAGAGTTACTGTTCCCACGGAGGTATGTTCTCACACTCTACACAGGTTTGGTTTGTGTGGGCATGAACTTATTCGAATATTTTTGCTGTGGATATCTATCTATCTATCTATCTATCTATCTATCTATCTATCTATCTATCTATCTATCTATCTATCTATCTATCTATCTATCTATCTATCTAT